ATGATACCAGGCTGAACGATTATTGAGGAGAACCTGTTCAGTCGTTGAGTGGGTAAAGATCGAATGTGTGGCTGGAAGTCAATTCAGTTGTCATTTGTGCCACCAACATACCCTGTTGTGACGAAGTGTATGTGCGAGGTGTGTTGACTTTGCCTTCTGAATGCTATCACTAGTAACACACACATTCTGATGTGCACGGATTGGTTAGTGATTGGCTCTTGATCAAGTCTCGTAGGAATATATATTGTGTAGGTTGCGTAACAGTATCTGCATTCTTATCATCTGTAGCGATGGTCTGTGCTGTGGTGGGTGCACAACTGCACGCCCTACTGACGTGATGTGGTTCTCACAGTACACGACTGTTTATTTATACATTCCGTCAGGGTGGATGGTCGCCACTTCATTGTGCTTGTCGGTATGGCCACAAAGAAGCGGTACAACTGCTCCTGGAGAAGGGTGCCATCGTGGACACGAAAAACAATGTAAGTAAACTGTCCTAAAGTACCACACACGCTCTGTGCATGATGCGTTTAGTCGCTCTCAGAGTTGTTCACAGCGAGTGTAGTATCTCATGGATGTGCATACGTTGAATACAATGTGAGATTTTGGGCATGTTCGCGTTGCATGTTATCATTCAATGTCCATGATGACTCTTAATCTCAGATATTGTGCAATGTGCAATTTTCGCATCAATTCTTCCCATCACTTATGTGCGATTTGTGCGTGGTTCTATGTACTCTGTTGTAGTGCTTTTTGTTTCGGTACCTACTGCCACGGCATATAAAGTCGTGTTATTGGTAGTAGTGTAATAGCATGTGATAGGGTGCACCGGACATATTTTACACATCTAGATATAGATGTACATGTATGTATGTTGCTCATATCTGGATACAAACTTTCCGCAGCACGTTCGTATAACTTGATGATACAATCTGTCAAATTGGTATACAATGCTGCTTTTCACATGTGAGAGGCGTTCATTGTGATCTGAGCTAACCAATTCTGAGAACTATATGCTGTGTCGGATGTACTTATTTGTCGATCTGTCTATTCGACATTCGAAGTACATTTACATACTGAGCAGTACAATGAAGATAAAAAAATTAAAAAAGCCCAACTTAATTCGCGTTGCCTATAGTTATGTAGTGCGTATTTACAAGATATACGAGCTGCATCCTTTCTTTGTTTATAGGTTTGCTTGTTTGTCAGGGGTACTTGTTTTGTTTGTTTGTTTGTCAGTGCGTTTGTTCAGTTGTTCGTGCGTTTGCTTGTTTATCTATTCGTTTGTTATTATTTTGTTTGTTTTTTTTGTTTATCCGTCACGAACTTCGTTCTCAATTGAGACGGTTACGCTACCTGCCTAGTGATGTTCCTTGAGTGTCATATGGGGAAGATGTGTATTTTGCAAAAAAAATATTATGCTGGATTTCTTCTATTGCGCATCAACATTTGTAGTATTTATAAGTAGTCATATGGCCAGTGCAATACTATAAAATGATGAATCGTCAAGGAGTGCCGCTGTATATACGTGCTCGAATCACTCATTGTAAACGAACACTGTATGACTGAAGTGTGTCTCCGCAATTTGATTGTATATACACGAGCTACTTGAATATCCGACTAGGTACGACCAGCTAACATTTTGATTTTATTAATGAGCATATACCTGCGGGATGGAGCAGAGAGTCTAAGAGGCACATAGTGGTACATGGTGTTTCTATATGATCTTTTAATATTATTGACCGCATCACACTCATCTGCAGCATATCACAAAGCCAAGTCATGAACTATGATTGTCGCATGCATTGTTGACACCATTGTCATACTAGCATATTTAATATGTCGTCCTTTATTTTAATGTTTGTCTGTATTTCGCCGCACTACTTGTGGTATGGCCGTGAGCGAGTTTGGGCATTGCGGAGTAGGATTGAACTATAGGCTACGTTCCGGATCTGTATATAAAAGACTATCTGCGCAATACTATCTGCATGCATATGATCTGTTGTATGCGGCAATAGAAGTGATTGGTTCTCATTGTGCGCGACTGTTTTGTTTCTTCATTCCGTCAGGGCGGATGGACGCCACTCCACTCAGCTTGTAGTAGTGGACACAGAGATGTGGCGCAGCTGCTCCTAGAGAGAGATGCCGACGTGGAGATCAATAACTGCGTATGTAAGTGGTCTTGAAGTACCACACACATCGTGTACATGGCTATATAAGTCACTCTCTGAGCTGTCAATAGTAGATGTGTCTCTGGGGGTGAATACTTTGAGCACATGGTTGGAGTTTGCGGTCGTTGTTGCAAGTTGACATTCATTGTCCATGGTAAATTTGTTTCGTCATTGTGGTGTAGGACTACACTATATGTGATATTGTAGCTATGTTTCGGATCTGCGTATGTAACGCTTTCCGTTTAACACGACCACTATCCATGTCATCTGTTACGATGATGAGTGCTGTGGTGTTTGTACCGCTGCATGCTGTCCAGAAGTGCTTTAGTTCTCACAGTGCACGGCTGTTTGTTTCTTCTTACCGTCAGCTTGGATGGACGCCACTTCACTTGGCTTGTAAGTGTGGTCACAAAGATGTGGTGTTACTGCTCCTGAAGTGGAATGCCAATTTGGAGGCCAAAAACAAAGTGAGTAAGCAGTCTTGAAGTATCACACACGTAGTGTGCACGATGTTATGAGTCATTCATAAAGTTACGAATTGAAGATGTATCTTGTGATGGGCCTACCTTTGGGTACATCGAGGGAGTGTGAGGAAGCCAGAAATGCAAAAAAACCAACTAAAGTCCGTGATGAATATCTTAATTTAGGTATTTTTAAGCATGCGTGTGCCACAGTCAATTATTCCGTCACTTTTGTGCGATTTAATGAGTAGTTCGATGTGCTCTGTCGCATTGCTTATTGGTTCGGTACTTGGGGCTATGCGGTAGTGAATGCTGGATTTTTGGAAGTACTATAGAGATTGCTGCTATTTTTGTTACATCTAGACACAGATACAGTGAGTTGGACATGACTGGATGCACAAGTTCCAGACACAGTTCGTGTCATATATGGGATGACACAATCGGTCAAGATAATGTACAACGATGGATTTCACAAGAGCGATGATTTAATTTCGACCTCAGCTATTGCATCAGTGTCAATTCTGCAAACGTTATGATATGGTACCTTGTACACACGGACTTTCTTCGGCGCAAGTGCTATAAATTACGGCGTGTCTGGTGGTTGTGGGTTGTCTATGCGTCTACCCGCGGCATTTCACGCTTTCTTGCATATTCAGCCACACAAAAATATTGCCCTTTAAATGACTTTTATAAAAAAAATACACACAGGTGGTCGTATACAAAACTGGTACACAAACATATGTATCTGCACATCGATATGTGCATTTTTACTTCGTATTCTCGAATCTAAAACCTGTTGGTCATGTGATGGATCTATTAGGTGCAGCCGTACTATCATTTTTGAATTGAAGCTCTCTATCGCATTATGAACAAGCCCGGTAGTACAGGCGTGGCTCTCCGCGATTAGATTTTAATTCTAAGAGGTACCTAAATTTACGGCTAGGTGACGACCAACTACCATTTAGTTTTCATTCTTGAACATATACCTGCGGGATGCAATAGAAAATTCAAAAGACACTCTGCGGTGCAGGGTGTGTCTATATGTTATTCCAGTATCATTGACCTCATCGTACTCGCCTGCAGAATGCCAAGTCATGAATCTGTACGATTTTCGTGTGTAGGCGATTCGTATTGTGAAATATTATCGGGTTCACTTACACTTAGCAGTTGAAGTGTTGCTGCACACGGCCTGCGTGTGTTCACAGTTGGTTTTTAATGGAAAAATGAGATTTCTTCATCCTTCTAGTTTCGAGAAATACTTTCCAATTTGATGTGAGGTCCATTGCTAGTCGTAAAAGAGTACATGTGAACTGATAGGCATGATACTCTCTTCATTTGTTGGTTCATCACTGACGAAGTTGTGACAACCGCCCGCAACATGTGCAATTGATAAGTACACCCATTTGCACGATCTCCCAATTATTCTTCCAAACTTAACGGCAAATGTGTTACCCCATTATACACTTTCAATTAGCTGGCTGTCTTAGTGAGATACTACACTGTGGTACTACGTTGATACTACAGCACTTGATGTTGAAGACTGTGGGTCATGCTTTCACGTACAGGAGCTGCTTTGGCTATTCTTTTCCGTTGTTCAAATGGGAATGACTATCGTTCTAATAGAGTGTGGATAAGAACATATGTGCATCTGATCTGTAAAAAAGTTATGATGGGTAGAGTAATGAACGTTCATTTTCCCAACGTGTAAATTACTGCATCTGCTATTCTGACAAGTTGGTTTATCACTCGTGTATTATCAACAGAGTGGGAAAACTCCACTGGATCTTTGCAATGATGATAAGATGAAGCAATTTCTACGAAAAGCAATTCAGCAGAGAGCGGACCGACAAATACAGGTAGAGCCAATACTACATCGTTTTTTCTCGCTGGGGCAGTCGTTTTTCCACATATCGAGTCGTCCCGGATAACGGACTGATGTGACTGCGACAGGAAAGCATGAAAAATGGTCATTCAATGCGGACATGATTTGTATTGGTGTACGAAATGTACGCCACCTGCATTGCGATAGTTTTTATTGCCACTCACAGAAGATGAGCGTATTGTTTGGGTTCCACAGTGCCATATAGGTATATCCTTGACTATCACTTTCTGCAAAGACTGAGTGCTAGTCCAGTATAGTACGGCTGCAGGTACTTTTGGTCTCTGATGGTTGCATCTAGAGTGTTATGAATGTTCTGCTGCTAATGTGTTTGAGAATTGAGTGATCACCATCTCCCAGTATATTGTGTGGACCGTTGTCGCGGCATTGCCAAACAACCGTTTGGCAAGTCATTTGTAACGTGCAAACGGGCAGCGCGAATATTTCCTAACATTCTCGTGCACCCTATGTAGGCTATGAAAGCGATGGAACAGCGGGAGATGGAACAGCGGCGTATAGTAAAGCGGAAGATGGAACAGCGGCAGATGAAACAGCTACAGCTAGAGAAGCGAGAGATGGAGCAGCGACTAGCGGCACAGCAAGCGGTATGGACAGGTTGCATTCCGTGTGCTTGGGGTTCAATGCGCTGCTCCGCTATATATTCTACGTGAATAGTTTGCTGCCCTAATTTCGTCCCGTTGTCAACCACCCATCGCTGGCTTAGTATTCTACACTGCCTGTACCGCATAGTACACTCGCTCATCCGCGTCCATCCATATGTATCTCTTAGCTCGAGTCTCTGAACAGATTCGCCCTGTGCGTCCATCAAGCGCGCGCTGACACTGCAGCGTTGGCGCAGCAAGCAGCGAGCGTTGCACTACCCACTGGGGACGGAGAGACACTCGTGCAGTTCATCGCCGACGTTGATGCCTGCTATCAACACACCACACACGTGCGACAGGCTCGGCAGCAGACCATCGAGCTGGTGACGCGGTGCTGTGTAGTGTTACGCGGCATGGAGAACGCCTCAGCAGCCGAGGACACGTGTGGTGACTTCAAGAGGGCGGAGGTGGCGCTAGAAACCTTCAACGCACTCCAAACAAAGATTCATGAGGCGGATAGTGTGGAGGATAGGGATGTCACTCAACGCGACCGTATGCGGCGAGAGTGTGTCGATCTGATTGAGACAGCTCTGCAACAACATCGACCGACCAATCCCAATATACAGATTGGTGTATCGGCTATCGAAGCACTTGCTGAGCTCCGAACATGTCCACCAGACCCGCTTGAGGATGATACAAATGGGTTAAATCTAGAGGATGTTCAAAGACTGTGTAGGGATGCCAGTGGTAAAGGCGTGCGGTTCGCCTGTGATCTTGGCAACGAGTCCGCCATCAGTGCTGAGTGCGATGCTACGATAGCCAATGTGCGCGAAAAGCTCGTGGGCGCGTTGTTGCGGGAGTTTGGGTACAGCGATCCTAACGCAAGTAGTAGGCGGAAGCACATGGGCGGGTGCGTAGCTGTTCTCAGTGCAGAGTTGGCCTTTCAGGAGAGAACCGCGCACAAGCTGTCGGAGCCCCAAGAACTAGTAGGTGTGTTGTGTGCGCTGGAGTCTGCGTTGGAAGCTATTGTCGCTTACTGTCAACAGGCCAATGATTTGAATGGTAGATGTGCTCAACTGAGGAGGCAGCATATCCAGTTGACTGAGGGATTGACGGCCCCTGACTTGTCGGTGGTGGAGAGTCAGCCTCAGATAAACCTAAGTATAGCAATGCAACGTAAGCAGTGGAAAGTTCGGATCCTCATGATCGATACAGACACCGAAGAAGCTGAGGTGCGAGAAAAGTGCGCAGCGTGGGAACGCGACACCAGGGCCCGCGAGAGGGCTGCTGGCCGAGAGGTGGCGGCGTGGTTGCAGTTTGTCAAGCGCCACTACCCCGAGCTAGTAAAGCATCCCAGTGTGCTACAATGCTTTACAGCGGACGAGCTGGAGTGTGCGAGGCTGGGGCTTCTGCTCAAAGGGGAAACGGAGGCCAACTACCCGGCGGGTGAACTACTGTCGGGACGGCCTGGGCGGAATGTATGGCAGCGCACGGATGCGAGTGGGAAGGATGTGGTGGTCAAGTCCTACAACCTCGCGTCGCCGGAGCATCGCTTGCACTTCCTGCGGACGTGTGCTAAGCTGGGTGCATTGCGGGGTGTGCTCAACATGGTGCCCGTGGTGGGAGTGTTTACAGAGAATGACTGGGGCCGCGTGCTCATGCCGTACTACGCGAACGGCGACCTGTCCGCGTGGATCAGCGCGTACCCGCAAAGAGATCCCGCGCTGTGTCTGCGCATGGCCCATCAGATTACGTCAGCGGTTCTGGGTCTGCACGAGCTGGACATTGTCCACTGTGACCTTAAACCCAAGAACATTTTTATAACGTCCACACATGAGGTAAATTGTATTGGTATTTAGTTGTATTCATAACAATCACGCATGAGGTGCAGATGTTGAAGTTTGTGCATACTTGCACTTTTGTAGATACACGCATACGTTCAATACCACCACCCTGTATTTGTTTAGTGTATCCAGAGGTAAATTAGAACTTGCCCACCTGGTGGCCGACAGAAATGTCTCGCATTGGACTCGTTCTCTTGAATGTTTGGTTCATTGAGGTCATTTTCTGTGCTGTGCCCGTTGATTCTGGACTACATCACTACGCAGAGCCCACACTCGACGCTATTTTGCACCCACCCCACAAATATCGCTGCTAATATTTCCTCATGCCAATCGCACCGTTATATTTTACCATTTCCTATGTCTGCTCAGCCCACCTGAATGTTTTGCATTCGGTCAGTTGTCAAGTATCGCGCTTGTTGTTCTTTATTTCACCCAGTCATCGATAGGTCCCCGCCCATATTATTACAATTCGTCTTCACTTAGGATGGTTGATTCATGTTATCTAGGACAGAACCACCCCTCCGTACTCCCGGTGGTCGTTTATGTGTTCTATCATATCACTTCACGTACACTCCCTAAAGATTGTGCAACAAGTCAAATTGATTGGCCTAAATTAAGGAACGTATCATTGTTCACCATGCTTGAAGTCTACGACATGCCAGCTTATCATCAAAACCTCGCTCCTCCTGTATATATAGCTATCAACTTGTGCTGCAGACTATAGTTCACCTACATCTAAATGTCATCTTATTTACTGTACAGGCGTTGCTGGGTGGCTTTATCGATATACGCGACGCCAAAAGCACCGTGACATCGGCCGCGGGCACCACGCGGGAATACGCGGCCCCCGAGATCCGTTCTGAGAGTGTGAGCAAGTTCGAGAAAAGTGCGGACGTGTACTCGCTGGGGATTGTTCTGCGCGAGCTGCTCCATGGGCTGCGCGTCACGGGCATTTTTAACACCGTGACCGACGCCGGCTTTGCCAGTCTGATCCAACAAATGACAGCTGATAAGGCATCGGAGCGTCCTACGCTGACGTATGTGCTAGCGATGCCTATCTTCAGTGAGCTGCACAGTGCGCGCCTGTGTGGGGGCTGTCTGGACACCTATGCGGCGGTGGGCAGTCTCACGTGCAAGAACGGGCACGTTGTGTGCAACGACTGTGTGGACAGGGCCTTGGCGATCGACATGAATAGCATCAACCATGTCGCGCGCCACAATGGGCTGCTGCCTTGCATTATGCGAAGGAGCGGCTGCGATGGGCTGTGGGAGTTCCAAAGATATGTTTCGCATGTTACGAAGACGACTTTCGACACAGCCATATGTCTGATGAACAAACCTGAAATCCGCGCGGTGTTGTTAGAATTGAGGCGGGAGGCTGCCGAGGATCGCGAGTTCAAGCACATCGCTAACGAGATCCTACCACTGCGATGTCCGGCGATGGGACATGTGCTAGACGAGTCCTTTGACACCTGCTTCGCCTTGACTTGCGACTCGTGTCCGCGCGAAAACAGCGAGTTCTGTGCGCTATGTTGGGGAAGTTTTGGACGATACACATACTCGCATGTGGTGCGGTGTGCCCTCAACCCACGTCCAGGCCATTACTTCAACGCTATAACAGTCTTCCACGAGCTCAGACGGAAGGACCGCTCGCAGAAATTGAGGGATTACTGGGCCACGCTCCAGTTGGACGAGACTAGCAAAGAAAAGCTAGCAGAGCGTGTGCAGCCCCTACTGGACCAGTTGAAGCCTGAGGGGACGTACGACTCTATTTCCAATATCGTTGCTTAGAACCCTGGACAACCCACTGGCGGCCCATTCATCAATCGATACACATCTATAAATGAATACACATTCATAAATCGATAAATATATCCCGTTATTATGATACTACAGCGACGGCATAGTGATGGCAGCAAGGATTAAATTTAATTCATACCAAGATTGGATAGATGTTTGACGTGATTTATATCCCCAAAGGGTACATCATCGGAGTGAGCGATGGTTTTTGCGCAGTTTATTCAAGAGCATTTTGTGTCACAATTTGTGCACTAGATTATGTAAATCAGTTGCCCTGAGCACTTTACAAGCTATTGTGGACATAGTCTGTGTACGCGCCATGTAGTACCTATCCATTCATTGCAGTCATAATTCATCCCTTGAGTACCGTCCCCTTGACAGATACTCTATACCGTATTGAAATGTGTAGTATCTCCGCTATGTCGCATGTTTAATCTGTGCGATCTAAAAACGAGTAAACTTTAATCAGGCAGCCACGTGTAAGTTCTAAATTTGAGGTAAGGGAGGATTCGGTGGTAACATACACCTATATATATATATATATTCATCCATCTA